TATAAACCTGTATGTCTGCTTTATGTTTTAATCATTCGTGTGTTAACTATTATTTGGTTATTACGTGATTATTATAAAAAATGTGCACGCTTAAGCTCTAACATTAATATTTTTTTTATTAACTTGAGTAGCGTTAAATAGTATTTTTAAATAATTTGCGTAATTAAAAGTAATGTATCAATAATAATTTGTTAATTAAAATTAAATTTTAATGTTGTTAGGCGTTGGCTAACGTGAACAAGAACCTTTAAATGACACACAAAAAATGTATGGACACGAGAAAAAATGTTTCCTAGCAAAACATGTCATTATAATCTTTATATTATCTTCAAGGTTGTGGTTGTAAAGGATTTTTTTAATATTATAAAGTGTTAAACGAGCAAACAGCCATATGAATTGGCTGGTATATCCAAGTAGTCGCTACCAATAGACGTCCGCAATTACAGTTGCCTGCCTTAAATCGACAGGATATCGCACAGCGACATACAAAATTTTCCATTAACCATTACAAGGTCCTGACTTACATATGTGAAGAGACGAGTACCTACAAATAAGTACATAATAAAATGGCTTCAAGTCATCGTTTAAAATTTGTGATAAAATCTGGTTAGTGCGAGAAAAATCTGGTATTCAACAATTGTTCTATTGAGCTAGTGATTCTTAATTAACACTACAATTGTGTTTGTTTTATTGCTATAGTAGTTTTCGCCTGTGACTCCATGCGAATGGAATTAAAAAAAAACAAAAGCGAGTAGCCTATGTGTTCTTCCAGACTATCCTCTACGTCTATGCCAAATTTCATCGAGATCCGTCCAACCTTTTGGGCTACAAACCCTAACAAACATCTATCCATTTAAACTTTCGCATTTATAATATTAGTAAGATGAAGTTGAATTGCCTATATCATTGCTCCTGCTGTCTAAATATGATTTTGAATGAGGTACCATTCTACTCCGAATTGCTGAAAGGTTATCTTCATTAGTAATTTGGGATTTACTATAGGCTTCGTTAGGAAGGGTTAGGACTCTTAGAGACTAAAAATAGACTAAAAAAGACCATATTAATAGTACTTCCCCCTCCTCGCCTTGAACATCGTGCAGTGACGTCTGTGGGCCTAGAACCACAACGAAGGTAGATCGGATTACCATTAGATAATGTTATTCCATCACAGATGTCAAAATGTTCAGGCTTAAGGTCAATATGTATCTTGCCATTTATTCACTGCCCACGTTTGCTGAAATACGGCCCACGCCTCTGCCGACCCTTTTATGTGGTGAATTTATTGAAGCGACGCGCGCACGCCTCAATGAGCCCACCATATACCTCTCCCTTTGACATCAAACCTATACTTATCGCAATCTACGACATGACAATGCCATTCTAATCGTGCAGGCGCACGCTTTGTAGCATTACAAACTATATCTACGTAGTCACAAATGTATGACAATATAGATTAGTTAATCTGGTCGATATATAAGTACTTTCTTCGTTATGCAAATATTTATCCCCAAAAGTTACCCCTTTTGGAAATACCTAGTAAACAATTTGATTAGTACGAGTACATATCCTATTTATGTACCTTCTTATGTTTATATTAATCGAAATTATTTTGAAACATGGATAAATCGCAATTTGAATAAATAATCAAAAACACCTAGTGTTAATGTCGGCTTTATGTGTGGGAAATTTAATTAAAAATGTGCTGCAGTCGGCGAATATTAAGACATTTTTATTAAACAACAATTATGTTTATTTGCTAGCTAATTTGATCTTGTTATACTATTACGGTTAAGTGCAATTTATTTAAACAAAGTTGAAATATTGGTCATATCACGAAAGGCAGGATTTTCCGTTTTATATGGAATTAAAGTATCAAAGTGTGGTTGGGAGTTTTGTAGATATAAGACTTTTCAGAAATCAGCGGTATCCCACGATCTTATCGTGTACTTATAAGATTAACATATCTAGACATCTGCATGTCCTTGTCTCTTATATCGTATGCCGTTGACCTTTGTTTTGTTTCGTATACATTTTCTTTTCACGACCACTGAACATTTTATTCGCAAACATTGTGATAAATATCTCGACACTTGCGTTATATTTAACAGTGCAATTCTAACTAACGCAAATTGTAAAAAAATACATTAAATAAGAATTGACTGCGTATGAATATATATTTGTATTATGTGTATTTCGGGTAATAAAAAATCAACGAATATAAAGTGCACAAAGTCGAGTGTAAGATTTTAACTAATCGGTATAATTTGAGCTGTCTGTGAATATGACACATCTGTAGTATCAAGTCGGACATACGACCACAGTTACTGAGACTTCCCAGAGGAATCATCAAGTCTCTGTATTAAGGAGACATGACGTTGACTGTACTCACGTCGCGCTATTAAAAAGATTCGTTTGATGTTTATAAAAAAATAAACCAGACGGCAAATATCGCGACGCGACGGAATTCTCAAAGTGACAAAGAGGAATTTTTGTTTATAGTTATAAATTAGGCAGGTTATTGGTCGTGCGCGCTCGTATTTATTGTGGTATTTGCGGCGTTGCACTTTGCGCGAATTTATCGATATCGAACGTAATCAAAATAAACATGCGCGAGTTCGTGTACAAATTTCCATAAACAGATCGTGAAAGGAGCATAAGACGAGCGTCGCCGTCGCCACTACTTCATATCCCCGCGGCGGCTGGCGACGCGCCAGAGTTTCCGAGAACGAGGGAAGGTTACGCGACGTCTCGCCGCAGTATTTAAGCCTAAATCATAACCACCGCATAATATTTTTACGCGTATTTAGCGGACGTCACTTATAGATTTGTTGCATCACTTAAACGAGCGAAAGTGCCGCGCTCCGGCGAGTTAATAAGCTGCCAATGACGACGCCTTGGCACTGTATCCGTAGAGGAAAAGATGCGCGGCCGTACGACAGTTGGCAAATGTAATATCAATTCTAGCAATGAAGTGCTTAACACTGAATGGAACCACTTGAATAGAGGATCATTTCTGTCCATAAAATGTCGTAGTGAATACGAGGCGTGATTGTCGCATCCTTATCTAGCGCCGAAGCGCCGCCACCCTCCTTCCTTATTACAAGAGAAGTGACAAATAAGGGCGATTGATGCTAATACCGAATTCGAGCGGTCAGCGGCGAGCGGCGAACCGAGTGCACGATCGCCACGAGCCGGGATCGATTTGTTCTCACGCAACATGTCGCTGCGTTATCAGTGCACTCGTGCAGTGAGGTTAATTAAATAGTTACGAGAGGGAGAGATAACGCTGACGCCTATTTATAGAGGCCGAGCCGAGCCACCTTATCGACCTAAGACATCTGATAGCGAATCTAACATTCGGAATCGGTCACTGTTTGTCACGATATTACATTCACGATTGTTCTCAATTACATGTACTTATTACGTCTCGTGTAGTAGTGTACTTACTTTGTATGAAGAAACGTACAAATTGAATTTATGTATTTCTATATTAATAAGACTATTTGAAAAACAAATTATATAAGGGCAAGATGATTGATGAATTAAATCACATAATGCGGCAAGTCATATCCTTTTAATACAAAATTATGAACATTATAAGATAATGTGTCTTCTATTATCTCCTAGAAGTTTGGATTAAAAAGTAGAAACATGATAAAGTACTTGATATGGAATGATAAGAGCTTAATTAAATTCTGAGAATGAAGTTGATATCGTTTGTTAACAACTAGTTATCCACTAGTACAAGTTTCAAGTGTCGTATTTAGTAAGACAAGGTGACAAATAATATTTGCATATATTTTGATATATTCTATGATGTTTTCTATTTCAATCCCCTAGAATTTCCTATGAATAATCTTTAAAAAAGGAGTGTCGGTGGCTCATTGGTTTAAACACTTGACTTGTAACCTACAGGTCTTGGTTTCGAATGCCGCCATGTAGCAATGTGATTTTAGAATTTTCGTCGGTGGAAGAAAACATCGTGATGCAACCTGCACATATCGGCTAAGAAATTCAAAGATATGTGTGAATTCGACCAACTCGCACTTGGCCAGCGTGGTTGACTATGACCTAGTCACCCCTTATTCAGGGTAGGCTCCGAGCCCATCGGAGGGGACGTATAGTGAGCTGGTGATGACTGAATGAATCTTTATAAAATAATTAACTCTGAAATACTACAACTAACATAGATTTCATGAACACCTCGACTTAAATATTTGTTTTAATAGAACCCGTTATTTAATAGTTAGTATTCGTTTAATAACACCGATATTTTTGTATGAAATTGGTTTCATTTCCTTCTAATTAGAAATACATGTATCTGAAGTTTCTTGAACTATCAATATTTAATACGTATGTATGGTTAACAGCTTTTAGAACTTATTAAAGTTAATGGAATCGGCATAACGTTTCGCATAGGAATGAGGCTTTAGGCGCCATTTTTACTAAGCGGTTGGCCGCACACGACCGCTCTTTCTATAAGAAAAACGAATGCACGTAGCGTTATAGATTTAGTAGTTGCCGCTTGTAGATTAGTGGAAACAGAGTTTAATTGTTGCCAGTGGCTGGCGTCTGGTGGAGCGGGTTGTCATCATATGGCCACGTCGACATTTTATATTTTTAGACTATCAAGTACTCCTCTATGTACATGTAATTGCGACTTGTTAAGAGCTATTCGCTTAGAACCTCTTTTGCCTTTTATTAACAAATCTGTTGATTTTAAAATGTTTAATACGTTTTATTACCCTTGTCAATTTTTATGTGATTTCTTACTAGTACTCTAGTACTTAGTTTACTGCTTTTTTATTTGGATAATGGGACAAACGACTAACAGATCGTCTTATAACTAATTTGTAATTAAAAAAACAAGGTTCTTAATTAACAACTTGCTCTATAAAATTGGCTATAGATTTTAGGCTACCAGAGGCTAAATATAGTAATATTTCTCAGTTGGGCTACAAAATTGCAGGATTATGAATTATTTTTATTTTTTGTTACAGAATGTCAGTTCGGTAAGCAAGCGAAGGAGCTGGGCTCGACGTGGTTCGCGGACCTCGGCCCGCCCTTCGGGGTAATGTACTGCATCAAATGTGAGTGTATTTCGGTGAGTATATATCGATACTGTATTACTTCGAATAAACAATTGAAACACGTTGTTGGATAATGTACCGTTTCTTTATTTTTTTCGGCCACCTGAATCCAAAGCAACCGCTGCCGATAGACATCCCTTATTGTCCTTTACTTTACTCTCATCTTATTATTATTCCTCAAATTTTCAGTTGCATAAGAATACTTTTACGTTATTAAAATATCAAGATTAAGAGCTAAAGAGTCGCCCCTAAAAGGTGCACATTGCTGTCTAGCAGAGACTGCTCTTACAAACTCTTTTTAATGTTTAAAACAAATTTTAAGAGATTCATATTATTTCATCGCTATATTAGATTATGATAGAACACGTAAAGTGTAATGTGAATCATAACACTGGCGTCATTTTAAATAAACTTAAGTAATCTGTATTTAACGTGTCTAAATAAAGAATTTCGTCATGATATCGTCACGAGTAATAACTCGTTACACTTCATTGCTGAATTCGGGCCTCTCCCATGAATTGTTCACGTTAATTGCTACTTAGTTACCATGAAGGGTATAAAAAATTGTTCCTTAATTAAGATGCTTCATCAAACCAGTGGAAGATTTCGATTCTTTGATCAATTAATATAATTAAAGTTTGATGACAGTTTTTCATTTCCTAATTAAGAGTATTAAAAAATGAATTTCAAGATAACGAATGGCGCCAGACATTTAAGTAATTAAAAAACTATTTTCAACACTAAATCGCGACACCTTTTTACTGATGTAATAAGGAGTGCAATAACAATAAAAAATACAAATCTATATTACAAACGTAATGATAGTTAATTGGAGAAAACCTAAGAAATATTATTTTAAGGGTATAGTATAGAAAGGCCACATAAGGAATGTAACTAAAGATTTAGACGTAATAACTAATGAGAGTGTCTCGCTCTATGGTAACCCTTAAAGACTTAAATGAAGGTTAAATTGAAGAAATTATGCTAAAGTAACATCTTTCCCGTTTAGGTGCAAAAGAAACGTCGTGTAGTGGCCAAGGTGCATTGTCGGAACATCAAGAATGAGTGCCCGGAGCCATCTTGTGACACTCCGGTGCTGCTGCCTGGGAGATGCTGCAAGACTTGTCCAGGCGATGTTGACTGTGAGTACATTGCCTTAAGTTACTAATAAGCACGGAATTACTTCTTGCTCTCGTATTTTTTGATTTCCTCTGGAATAGTGACTTCAATTGTAAAAGTTAATCTCCCCAGGATCATAAATTTATTGGGGATGAAGATATTATCTAAATGTTTGGTAAAGAAAATACTTGCTTAGTGCTTCATTGATTACCAATTAAGCTAATGAAATCTGTCGAAAGTGTGCAAAATTTTTGCTAAGATTCTAATGATGGCAGCGCTTACACAATTTGAGTGCATATCCGAAGGCTCTAAGTAATTTAATTACTTATTCAATTAAAATTAATTTTGTAGGACATTTTACTGCAAGCAAGTATTGAAGGTTGTTAGATGCCACTCAGATAAATCTAGAAAACGAGAGGAAAAAATGTGGCATTGGTATAATGTTAGTTTAAGGATTAAGAGGTAGGTTACGTTATCAGTCGCCACTTGTCCGCGACCAGTGACGTGTTCACGGCCGTTTGTAACGTACAACGTCTGTGCAAATTACAACTTAATACTGTATAAGTACTGCAGTTTGCAGGAATTTTTAATACATTTCTTTTGACGAACCCAAACAGACTTCAAGAAATAAGTGGTTTATAATCTATCCTCTACGAAAGTGTGTTTTAAACCGTAAGGATCTCTAAGTCACAGAAGACACTGCTTATGTAACGCTTAAACGTTTATGAGTGTAGCAGTGAGTCGTAACTAATCCAGTCGAGGAGCACTCTTTGTTTTTTTTTTAAAACAGAAAAAAACACCTCTGCTGGAAACAAGGAAACATCTCGACAGCGGCACTCTATAACTAATCTATCCAGTGACACGGATAATATTAATGAAGATATGTTGAGTGGGCACCATTAGCCGGCTTAGTGGGTACGAGCCAACAGCCAAATTGTTAACAATGCCTTGAATTTGCTTCGTCATTATTCATACAAAATATTAAAGTCGTGTCATTGTCTAGACACGTATACTCAAGTCACGTATGGTCTTGTGGATCAGATAAACTTGAGTAACGATACTCCAACGGTTTGGTGGCCCACATTCAAATACTTTGCCTATGATGTCTTCTGATCAGTAAAGCATATGAGAATGAATTCTCGATATCGTTTAACAAAACTGTGAATTCCCTCATGAGGGTTATTTAGTTTACTGTAATTATTTAGTGTAGTCAAATAATGAATTCTAATCAAATCTCTTTTCTAACTCAGACGACGTAGGAAATTTCCATCGTCTCAATATTTTCTACGAAACTGTATGTTCGTATTTAATAGAAAACTATATACATTTATGAATGAATTCCATCGACGGAAACAACCAGATTCATTCACAAACAAAACCTCTTTACCATAATGTCAAGTTGTTATCAACGTTATAATCGGGCAAAAATAACACAAATTGTCAATAAAAGCCATTTCGTTCGGTGAAAGTTAGCAATGCCAGCGAAACTACAGGAAATATAAATTTTATGAACAGGTTAAGATTTTTTTTGAAATCGCGTTATAGTCGCAAAATCGATTGCTATACACATTTAACCCACTGTCTTTGCTCTAATGGCATTCGCTGATTGTACCTCGGTAATAAGGTTTTACGGATGTTACGTACATATTTTTGAAGTGAAAACATTTATAGCCATGACAGGAGATTTTTGGGAAAAACTCCTACGTAACTTTGCATTATCAATATGCTAATATTGAATTGTAAACTGTGCTAATCTTCTTTTTTATTAATCGTAAATGCTTGCATAACCTACAATATTTTGTTAAAATGAATCATCGTAACGTGAAAAAATATTAACATGGTTTTGCCAAATTTTGAACGTGACTTCCAGATTGCTGAACACTTCGGTTATATTGACTCGGCCAATCCATTTCGATTAGTAACAAAAAGGCTACGTAAATGTAAATATTCAATGAATGGGCGCTTGTCATTCTAATCTGCTTTCAATGTTATTCTCACACGATATAATTCGGCCAACATTCGACCGTCACGAAGTCTGCTCCAGTCAATTGAATTTCCTAAATTGATGATGTCATCTTATTTAAAGGCATTATGTACCTCGACTGATGTCATGCTTTCCTGTTTGACAATTCTGTTACTAGCTCGCGAATATTCTATTACGGAACCGTTATCGTCCATTAAAACCACGGGATCCGAGACGATGTAGATTTACTACAATCAAAACAGGACGCAGTGTCTTTATGTTTAATTTATTCAATGTTTATTTTACTTTAATATTCGATAGCTGCTATTAGTGTACCGTAAGATCTAAGTTTAAGTTTACCTCATACAAATTTCTTCGAACGAAACCTTTTGGCTCCTTAAGAACGTAGTAAGATTTGCTCCATTACAGGCCTATTTCATAGTTGAATTACGTTTCTCTTTTAATTACTAACGTAGAATTATCAATAGTATTGCATTTGTTTGTTAACCAATGGTCTCATACATGATATACCCTTCCCTAATATTTATGGAAATATATTTTTATTATGAGGTCACTGAACCCGCGTGGCCTCAAATATCGTCTCATCGTCTAATCGTATTATTAAACGATGTTCATATTCGATTTATGAAAACGACATCTGACTATTTTTAATGCAGACAGGAATAGGAATGATTTATAGTCGAACGTGTCGATTATATTGGTAACAAATACCACTTGAGACAGGTTAGTGACTCACGGACCATCTGTCGCGAAAACTGTCCGCACATGTGTGTGGAAATTGTGTGAACGAGACGTACGTTTATAGATTTTTGTGGGAACGTTCTGTTTGGCTTGGAGCGCGTCATTAATATGCAATTTTCGAATGACCCGCTCTGCTTGTGAAACCCGACGCCGTGCCCGCACCGCTGCCGGTCGTATTGCTAATATCACATTCGCACATAAACTTGACATCTATTTACATACAAATAAATTATTATAGTTGTTTTGATACTAGTATCATTTGTAGACAATCAATAAAATGACTATATTAAAATTTTATGAGCGCCCGAGCACTAGAATAGCTCGCATAGATTGTGTTTTTAAACCAAACTTTCATAGATGAAAATTTGGGTCAGAAGCACAATATAGCAGTGGCATATTTCAAGGCATCCAGGATTCAAGAGAAGTAGTAAGAAGTTTAAAGAATTTCAGGTAGCTGAAGCATTTTGCCATACAAGCTTAACAATTTCAGTGACAGTAATTTTATCTGGATGGTTAACCTCAATATATCATGATTGGAAAACTACTTTTTGTCTGTCAACTATCTGCTCGATAAAAGTTTTTGCTTTAATATAAGTAATACTAGCTTTCGCCTACAATTCACTGCGCGTAATTTAAAAAAACATAGTAAGTAGCCTTTCATAGAGATCCGTTCAGCAGTTTAGGCTACAAAATCTAAGAAACATCCATCCATCCATCTAAAGTGTACCATTTATAACATTTCACATTTAAGCTAAATAATTGTGCTTAAATAAATGTGGTGTCATGTATAAAAGTAAATTGCACTTTACGAGACGGGTTGTTACATTATCATCGGCATTTAAAAGTGCGTCTGTAATTTTTTTCGCGGCGCTTACCTTTAGGTCGCGTTACCGGCGTCTTGATTGTCATCGTTCATCATTCCATTAAGTGTTTTTTTTTTGCTGGAATCGGCAAATTCGCTGCCTTTAAAAGGTAATTGCAGAATGTGAGAAAGTATGCGTACAGACGTAGTGACAGGAACCGGCGATGACAAATGACCGCGGCGGGCTCCCACGGCTCATTCTCATCGTTACCTACATACGCGAGCGCCGCCGGCCTTACGGCCCCTCCTGGACACATTCGATCTAGATAATCAACATCTACGAAACGAATTCGTAATAGCACTAATGGAATTCTTTGCGATGCGACATTTATAGCCGTACTGCACTCATGGCGCCGTATACATAGCTCAGAGATCGGCCTTGCATAAATTTTTATTGCATGCCACTTCCTGGTAATGTCTCCGGATACTTTCATTTGAAATTTATAGTAATGTATATAAATACACAAACAGGAAAATATGAGGAAAACAGAACGCGTGTGTGACGTGTGATTCCCATGGTTTATCCTATACTGTGAGTCAGTTTTGTGATGAAGAGATTGTTTTATAGTTATGTCATAATTTTAATGTTGTTCAAAACACGGTGAATCTCCTTCATCCCAATTCTTAATAAACGTGTCCGGACGAAAGGTTACAATTAACAGCGGAGTGAACGGCTCGGTCGCGTTTAGGGATTTGCGGTTGGTGTGTCGACGCCGACGCCGCGTCTGCCGTCAGTAGGATATATCGAGAGCATTACAATGGCATTACTCAGATGCACCGGCCGCTGGTGCAGAAATGGCACGCGCTGGTGTGTCCCCCGCCCCTCCTCCCGCGCGCTCGCCTCCTCCCCCGTCGCCGCTGCAAATATAGCTGGTGCTGCTGGTTATTCCGGGCGCGGCCGTCGACCCGTCGCCGCGACGCCGTCTGCGCGCCTTTTTAGCGAACACCGCTTACAACATACGCATTTTTTGCGAGCAAATATCCCTGATGTCAACGAACGCTCACTTTTTCGTGATTTTATAGGAGATCATTTAATGTGACGGGGTTAAGATAGCGCTTCAAGCTTTCTCATCTTATTCCTTGCAGATAGCTTACGTTTACGCGGAGAGCCACGCCGTATGTGTAAGAAGTTATGAATATACTTCTTAAAGCACTAAAGGCCTTAATGCAATTGTAACGGTATATTGTTATGGGATATACCATCAGATGAATACCATGCTCGTATCTAACTTGTTACTTTAATGTTTCTATCTTGAGGACATGTTTTAGTTTTTGTAGTTGTCTTTTTTATTAAAGTATAAAAATGTTATGGATACAATTGTTCCACAAACGGAAATAATTTAATGGATTAACAATAAAGAGTAGTGCAACTTTAAGGTGGCCGTAAAGTCTATCTCCGGGTCGTAACTATAAAACGCATCAAATCTGATTCAGTG